ATCATCTTTATTATCGTTAAAAGCGCTTAGAAAGCCGTACGCAAGTATGCTTTGCTTAGCTAATAGTTTGATCGTTAAAAAGTTACCGATATAATTACCGGTGGTCCGTCCTTTTTTAAAGTCCTTAAGAAGCTTATTTCCGAATCCGAGGTCCTTTGAAGGTCTGTTTCCGAATCCTTTTGATAGTCTAAGAAGGCCGTTCCTACTTCTTTCGTACCCGTAGCCTCGATCTTTTTGCTAATCTCTTTCGTTCTTTCTTCGTTGGTCATTGTTAAGATCGCTAAAGCTATTCGGGTCACCGGCTAGAGCTCTAGCTTAATGATATCCGTACTTTTAAGCACGCTCTTAGCGATTCTTATACCTTTAATATCCTTTTTATCGATACGTAGCTTATTGAAAGATTTAAAGAGCTTGTTAGTACGTTCGAAAGTGCTAGATCCTTCTTTCGAGTTGCTAAAGCTAAGCACAGAAATCTGCACGCTGTCTTTAATAAGAGCTGATTTTGCTCGGAATGCTTTCAAGTCTTAATAAGTCCTTTTTTAGCGTGTAGCTGCTATTGCTTTGCGTATTATCAGGCCCGATTATGATCTCAAGACCTTTGTTATTATTGCTACTAAGCCTAAGCTTTTTAGAAAACTAAGTATAGCTTTTAAAAAAAAGGTTTAAAGGCTACTAAAGTGATTTTAGCTTTTCTTATATAATTAGCGTATTGCGTAACGATTAATAAATTAAAAGCGTCGAGTACGCTAAAGTGCTTCGTCGTAGCCTTTCGTTAGATTGTATAGCGTAAGTCCGTAATTCCGCTATTTGCTTTGCTATCACTTTTATATTTTGCTTTATATTCTTCTTCTCTTTCGCAAATTCTTCGCGTAACCTCCGAATCTCTTCTTTTTCTTCTTTTTCTTTCTTTTTTAAACTTCGTAAGAGTGGTTAAAGCGTATTATCTTCGTCGTCCGTAAGGTTTTCGACGGTCTACCTTAAATCGAAGCTTAAAGGTGTTGCTTGTTACTCTTTTATTTCTTAAGAGGTCTATTAGTATTGCTGCTCGTCGTTCAAGAGCTTGACCATCTTATTAACGTAGCCCTTTTGCTTTAAGGAGCACTACACGCCTTTAAATAGTAAGTGTTCTTTAAGGCTAATAAAAGTAGCAAACTTAAGGCTTCGTCTCGTATTATCTCTCGTCATCGTAAAACTCGTCCAATCTTAGCGTAAAAAAGCGTGCCGGAATAAGCTCTACAAGTCGTAGTCCTTTAGCCTTCTACACTTTGCATCTAAGAAGTCTTTTACTATTGCTCGGGCCGTAATCTCGCTATCGAGCCTTGCGTATAATAGCTTATTTAAGTCAAATGAGATGCTCGACATCTCATCGTCTAGTCCTTCCGAGAAGCTTAAGAGCTTTAAGTATAGTATTTCTTTTGGCTAAATAGCTAAAGGTTCCGTAAGTAGTGATAAGACTCGAAAGGTATAATACTTTACTGCTCCTTGTCGGCTGGACTCTCTACTTAAAGGTCTAGTTGCTCGATCGGCTATAGTAGTTGTCTGTTTGTGTGTAAGTCGATCTAAATTTGATTGGGTTGCTATATGTAGCAAGCGCGGCTCTTACAGCGTTAAAGTTGTTTTGAAAGTGACTTGGTTCGGAATCACTCTTCCGTAAGAATAAAGAAAAATCGATAGTATAAGCAAGCGACTTGGTACGGAATCGCTCTTCCGTTGTAAAAGGAAGGAGGTATCGTATTGAAAAGTATCCTCGCTATAGAGTATTCTTAGCTTCTTTGTGATTGATCACTTAGTAGTAAATCAACTACTGATTAGTGTTGGATTGCTTTCAAGCGATTAAGAATATATATTCGTAAGGTCGTAACGGTCGTCAAAGTACTTGCAATTACAAAACACTCGGTTGATAAAGTATCTGAATTCTGTTTGCTCCTTAAGACTCAAAGGAGCTGATTCCTTTTATATGATTAAAAGGAATCACGTGCATTAGCTAACTAATAGGTTTACTTGTTAAGTTAAGGGGTCCCTTGACTGTTAGCATGCTAAGCGAGGCATACCAAGTGGCCCGTGAACCATGGTTCACGGGTGAGCTTCCCCAACTACTACTACTACTACTAGCTAAGGTCGATATGGATATACCGACATAACTAACAAAAATCACATTTTACCGTACTTATTGATTCTTTATTTTACTTATTGCATACAACCTCTTGATATAAAGATTTTTCATCTTTATAAGCATTACTACGACTTAGCGATTAAAGCTGCGCTTGCATAGCTCGATATCGAGTATTCGATTAATTCTTTCTTAAACGATTTCGATTATATTCGCAATTAAACACTTAATCGATATAATATTAAAAAAGCTTAAAAGAAGTCTAGAATATACTTATCGAGTGCAACGCAATGTTTAAAAAACCTTAAGACTTTTACGCTTCTTAAACACGAAGAAAAGCTCGAGCTAAAGCTTTTTCGTACTTTTTAAAAACTAACGCATATCGAGATTAGCTCGTAAAAGTAGCAAAACAAATGCAACGAGTTATTAAGTAGTCTTTCTCGACAAGATTTCGAATCATATATAAAAAGTACTCGAGAAATTGCAATAAAAGCTACTTTATAAGAACAAGAGTTAGCTATTCTCGCTTAATAACGCAAAGATTAGCTAAAAAGCAAAAAAATAAGTCGCAAATAGTTCTATTATACTAAAGGCTTAACATCTTAAATCGGTAATAAGCTTGCTATTTAATAGCAAGCTAAAAAAGATTTCGAATCTGTTACAAAACAATAACGAATCGTCGATAAGCTTTAAAGAGAAGAAAGAGATGCTAAGTATTATAAAAGAGTCGATTCACGCAAAGCTAAGCGCGAGCGTAAAAGGATTATACGAGAACGCTTTGCTGCAAGTCTAATTATTAAAAACGACGATACAATACTTATTTTAATTCTCGATTCGGAAGAGATTTAATAGATGCAATAACCTCTTGAGCGTTAAATTTTACGGCCTCGTAAAAAAAGTATTCTTCGACTAACTCTTTCTTAACCCGGACTTTCTTTCGATAATAACGACTTGATAATTACAATCGATATTATTAAAGACTCTTTTTTAAAGCAAGATGTTATTCTTTTTTTTAGTATTAATATCGATAGCGATAGCTTCAATTCTAATAATAGTAGAGATTCAAACGATTCGTTGCGTAAAGTAAGAGACGAGTCAGAATCTAATGAAAATGACAATCGATAATCAGATATTTTATTAGATGATACGATTTTAGATGTTTCGAAAGAAGATGTAATAGTAGATTAGTTATTTATATAAATATTTTTAAGTTGTAATAGTATTTGCTATAATAAACAAAAATTTCTAATATATTTTCGAAAAATCCGCACTCGCTTCCGATCCGCAGTCGCTTATACCGACTAAGACTGAAAGGCTGAAAGGAGGCCCACCTAAGCGAGCCGACGATTAGAACATTCCCCGGATCCGGTGAGAGATCGAACACCACTTGCGACTGGATCCAAACCCAACGTATATTATAAAGTCGCAAGACGTGCAGCTAGTCGTTATGTTGCTTCCGTTGTGATGCCCCGCGCGCTTTCTGGATCCAACTCCCAGAGAGGATCGCCCGTCCTACGGATCTGTGAATGCCTCGAGGAAACCAGGTCGCATTCATCGTTGCGTCATTGCGGGAGTCAAGCCTGCTAGTCGGCCTTTTGGGTCTGCTGGGTAAAAAGGCGTTGTTAATGGAACAGGCATGTATTTGACTTACCTCTAGGAAACCGAATCCCAAAGAAGAGAAGCGAATTTTAAGCGAGTACATATGCTCTAAAAGGAAAAAGAAAAGGGAGGATGGATGGGGGGATGAGGGGAGGGTTTCATCGCGCCTAGAAGAATCCGAAAGAGACTTTGAGATTAATATGTGCGTTGACGTACGTGATCATCTCTGCATGCCTGCCTGCAGCTGCCAGAGAAAATGGTGTTACAGTAGAAAGCACATCTCTATTCCTCAACAAGCAAAGCCAATCAAACCCATCGTTAGAACCCGAACGTCCGCCTCACCTTAGGGCTCCATTATCCTTCCCTATTCATATTCCCAACATACTTGCGCATCCCTCCTAACATATACCTACTTCTAGACCGAGCCCCAAAATTCTCGCGCGAGCGAGCGCTGCATCCAGGCTTCCGAGCGCCTCGAATGTTTGTTGGGAGAGATTCTAGCAACCAATTCTATACTCAGAGGGTAAGAATAGAGATGACACTCACAGGTACTTAGTTAGTCTCGAGAGTATATACTGCAAGGTCTTCCTTCATCTTCATCAGGATACAAACATACATAATTCTTTTTTTTTAAAAAAAAAAAAGATAAAAATATTGATAAAAAAATAAAAAAAAAGGGCAGGAAAAAAAATGGAAAAATTAACTTCTGATATCCGCTATGCTCGGAAAATGATCAGTCAAGAGCGCGCGCTTCGCTTCCGTTGGAAATACGCCATGCAAGATATATTACGACTACAGGTCAGCTGACCAATCCTCGATGCGTGTATCTTGTGGGACGGAGATAATGAGAGTTGGACATCAGAAGAATGTACGACGGGGATGGCAAGTCATGAATGGTATTTAGGAAAGGGGATTGAGGGGGAGAATATTTCATTGGGATTTGGTAAGGAGCGCCGGGTTGCTCTCCTCTCCCTCTGCCCGAACCGGCCATGAGGCGGCTAGCTTTGGGGCTGTCCTTTCTGCTAATACGGAGACGAATGCAACGGAGGAATAAAATCGTCTTTAAATATTTGGGAGACCGAAGAGGTTGAAGGGACCAAAGAGTTGACGAGCATAAGGACGTCGAGAGAAGTGACGAGACTGAAGAACAGTACGAAAGCGATTCCGATGAAGTAGAGAGAAATGTTAAGCGGGATGGATTCTTGAGACAGTAAAAGTCGGGGCACGCTCAGCTAGTAGACCCACTCCCCTCTCTCGATATTTTTGGTTAATTGTAGCATTCCAATATGTGTTAAGGATCACTCCCATGCTCTGCTTGGCTCATCCTTCTCAATGCTTTCTGCAACACCATCTTCGTTTCCTCATCGTTTGAGAGGTCTTTCCTCTTCTCAAATGCGCGAATCCAGAACTCCCATCTTTCCTTCGAGTGCCCATTCCAGTCTTTACCGTTAAGGGGATCAGAATCGCCAGCCCTAGCCGACTTGCCCTCATAGGTCTGCCTGTCAACGGCCCGCTGCCACAGCTCCCGTGAGGCGTAGATCATCCACATCGCAGCAGCTTTTGCGGCCGCCGGCTTCAATTCCTCCTCTGGTGGTACGTCTTCCAGAGTATCCCGCAGAGACCAGATGCTGTACAGCGAGTAGTCCATAGAGTCTCCGGGCTTTGCAGCCGCTGTGGCGCGAGCGGCGAATGCATTGCGATTCACCCACGCGTCGTCCATCTCAGGCGGACTCCTCTCATCCGGAGCTGGCCACGATTCAGTGACAATCCTCAATGGAGAGCTGCTCGCTCCGACGGCCTACCCTCATTCCACACATCTCTTATTGCAGACCCCAAGAGCGGAAGCTCCTTCAAAGTGGTCCCGCATCCCCAAACCTGCAGCTCTGAGTCGCCTCCGTCTCCATTCCGTAGCCTCTTCAAGAACTCCACAATTGGATCCTGATCTTCAGGTTTCGTTTCCGCAACTACCCTTGAGAGCTCTTTCCACGAGTGCCACAACGCGTCCTCGACCCGCTGGGTCTCGTCTGCCTTCTTTGCGTCCATGATATGCTGGCAGAATTGGTTGACGGCTTTGGAGACGTCGACGCTCCTTGCGGAGAGGGTCTTACCAAATTCCATGTTTGGAGGCTCGATCGATCACATACTTTTCATGATCGAGAGACGCAGGCAGAGTACGTGGCCGTGGTGGGAAGGTGGTCGTGATCGAGGGACGGGGGAGAATACTTTGGATCACTCGCAAGCGAAGAAATATGTCAACATCATTCACGACTACTCACTTACTTATTTGAGATTGAGAGCAACACTTTGACAGTTATTAAACCGACGCACCTCGTATCTCGTACCTCGCGTTTTGCATTTTGCGTTTTGCGAAGCCACTCTCGAGATTGCAAGGTATCAAGATAGAGAATTGGGTTCAAGTTGGATAGAAGTAACGGTGGTACGACGTGAGAGAAGTTTATAAAGTCCCTCACGCTGACTCAGCAACCCTGGCAAGCTGAATAAGGGTTGCTGAGTAATACCTCAACCGAACAGCGATCGCTTGGACTCACAGATTGCTGCCGGCTGATCTCGCTTTTCTAAATCCTTATTCCGCGATAATCTCCCCATGGATTTGATTGTAAACAAACCTATTGTCAAACTTATTATCGCCAAGACATAGCCAGGAACGGATCCGGAGATCACCGGTTGCCCAAACTCAGCCACCGGCTTTGCTTTAACTCTTCAACTTGCTTGGAAATTCAAAACTTGTGTCGCGTGAGTGAGCCGCTCGGTGAAAGTGAGTTGAAAGTGACGAGCAGCGCGCAGGGACCCGAAATCAAATCTTTTGCATGTAGTTGTATATATGGTATTTATATATACGCATGCATATATGGCTCGGCTACTAACTCTAGTGTCCTAGCCTCCACAGGTTGTTTGTATCTTAAATCTCGATCCCTTTTATACGTTTATATCTCCACCCCTTTGTACATTTCGATTTCCAGTCAAAAATCCTCAAGTTCAGTGATCTATCTCGTCAGCAAAATCAGTCAAGCGTCCTCAAGCTTAGTGATCATCTCATCGGTGAAATCAGTCAAGATGCTTCTCTCATTCCCGGTAAGAAAACCTCTCTCTACTATGCTAGCCACATCTCGTTTCCTCGTCCCAGTTCAGCCCTTCTACTCTAACACGGCGCAGTCCCTCGTCCCAATCACTCTCCTCCTCACCACTGCCCTCTCCTCCCCTATACCCGGCAATATCGAGCCCCGTAAAACATCAACAGTCTGCAACGAAGTCTCATACACCGCTGCTGAGGTCACCGAATGCACTGATGCGGCTTACAAGCACCACAAGCAAGGTACCAAGCCTGGAGGTTCCCCGTTCCCACAGGAATTCGAGAACCTGGAAAGCTTCACGCTTGCCGTTAAACCACCATACGAGGCCTTCCCATTGAAAAAAGAGGGTGTCTACACAGGAGGTACGTTCATCTCTCACTCCCTCGTGCCGTGACGATGATTTGGCTTTGGGATATAGCACCAAGGCCACGTTGAGATTCGGCATGGGATCTTTGGAACGATGAGAAGATCTCTGGCTGACGATGTTTTTTCCCCCAAACAGGAGATCCTGGTCCCGATCGGTGCCTCATCAGCACCACCAGCGGAAAATACGCGGGAGTCATCACTTCGAGCGGAGCAGAAAACGATGACAGCTGGGTCAAGTGCTCGCGCAGGAGCGTGCATCTTCTCTTTGGTGGGAATTGGGTGCCTCATTCTCCATGAGCGAGCGGGCCGCCATTAAAATACTTACCATGCTCTTCGCCTGTCGGCCAGTTAATTGTCTATGTAGCCTAGTCATTTAATGATAATCGTCGCAGTCGGGTAGCACTCGAGCGAATCACCCAACGATGATTCATTTCTCAGAGGCAGAGGCACTTACTTCCTACTTACCTCGTGATTTGCTCAAGCAACGTAATACTTGATCGCATCGTTCTCTGTACACGAGCTATTATCGTGAAACTCGTTTACAGAGGTATAACGGTGAAGTGTTGTAACCCTTGCTACTCCACAGCCACAACTCTAACCTGATTGAGCAATTGACCTGACCTTAATACAAAGTAAACTACTACTCCGTAACGCTTTTCGAGATTCTATGCAGTAACGTTCCGTGCTTAAGCTCAGGTTGTTGCTCAATTAAGTTAGAATTGTGGCTGTGGATATGCAAAGTTTACAACACTTCGCCGCTGTAGCTCTGTAGAAGAACCCATCTAGTAGAACCCATCTAGAACCCATCTAGAACCCATCTAGAACCCATCTACTACTACTACGTCCAATTATAGTAGTACTTAAGGATTACCTACCCATCGTGCGCTTTTAGTTAGTCTACCCTTGTCGTAATTAAGACTCTGCTCGGGAGAGGCGATCCCGAAGGCAAGACTGCTTGGCGTCCCACACTGTATTTTCCTATGCTCCTTTCTTCCTTCCTCCTTGTACCTACCTATGCCACTTATTTGAGAGAAGCGCTACCATCACCAGTCACACGTTATCCGTCTCTCCACCAGGGCTCCATTCTGATTCTCGCAAGGAAGCTGGGTACCTACGTACTACACATACAGTATACATCAAGCGAGGATAACCTCTCGCTAAGTGTTCGTTTGTTTGTTTGTTTTGTCTGTTTGTGTAATCATTACGTAGGACAAAAGTCTTAATTACGGAGTGTTTTGTGGGCTCTCGGAGAAGCTTATCGAGATACTTCCGTATGCCCACCCCCAAGTGGGGACCCCAGTCTGTCATGTTCCTTCCGTATGGAGCCTAGGAAGGGAGATCCTATTACGTGATTTCGATCCTTGTTGGTAGGTCGAGTCCCCCGTCCCCCCCACCCCCTGAATAAGAGACGAAAGTATGATGATTCTGCAAGTGCTTTTGCCAAGGCCTCAACCAATCAACTTACAGCTACGTAGTAGTACGTCGTAGTATAAAGATTCAGCCTTGAAAGTATCTCTCAGCAAGTACAGTACCACGGTTACAGGCCTAAGTGTTACAGCCTGAGGATGCCGTACTTAGAAGTCTAAATGAACACTTGAAACCTCCCGCTTACCCTACCCTCAGGGTGTAACACTTAGTACTACTACGTAGTAGTACTTGCGCCTGTGACGTTGTCTCTGACCCGTGTGCAATAGAGTTGACGAGGCTTTGAGTCGTTCGCGGAGTTTAAAAAGCCGCCGCTCGACGGTTTTTGAGGCTCAGCTGGGTCTGCTCATCATTCACGGGAGGGGAAAGTACTACTACGTATCGAGGCATTTTTCAAAGGGGACGCGGCCTTATTCTGGAAGCGCGGCAGAAGAAGAAGAAAAAGAACAAGAAGAAGGAAAAAGAAAGAGAAGTTGAGAAGATAAGCGGAGCAGATGATCTACGCATGCTTTTGCAGTACCGGTACAGCCCCCTCCTGAATACACATCGAAAAGCATACTTTGGTAAGGGTTCTTCTTATCAGGGCTTGAAGCAGTGAACCGATAAGTCACGATTCAGCTTCGAAGAGTATCTCTGACTAAGTGCGTAGTCTCCACCACGAAGTTGGCAGGGCTTTGAGAGAGCCATTCAGAAAGCACCGCTCAACGATTTGTACTTCTAGAAGCCGAACTGGGTCCGACGTGCATTCAAAGGGGGGGCTGTGTTTCAAAAGAGAGTTTTTTTCTTTTACTTACTTAAAAAAAAAAACTAAATTTAGCTTTCTGGCTTTATTCTCTCATCCAGTAGTAAGTACCACTACTACGTACGTAGTACTACTCTGTACAGACTACAGTACATACAGTAGATATAGCGGGCTCCCACTACGTCATCTGCCTATGCAACTCTAACTTCTACTTTTCCTACTTATCAAGACTTTCCTTTCCCATCAATTCTTGCTCGTCCGACTTTACCCGAGGCCGCGAAATCCTTATCTGGGAAGTTTCTGCGTCATAGGGAGTAGAGTGATAATTCAGCTCCGTCGCTACTTATCAGATGTAAGCGAGGAGCTTGCGCCTCCAGAATACACATGTACTAGTACAGTATCTCCCCCCCCACCCCCCTCGTTTTTTGTCTTGCAGAAGAAGAGAGAGACGGGAAGGATAATATCGAGCGTATACGTAACATCTACGTATATCGGAGAGGCAGAGTTTTCGGCTTGATCAATGCATGAATGCATGAATGAATGGATAGCCTGCAGCTGCAGCTAGAAAAGGTCAAGAACTGGAATGAGTTAAAAAAACTCTTTGAAGATACCCCCTTACCACG